TATAGGTTAAAACCAGCACTAATGTTTTTTGTGACTCTGAGCATGTTTTTGCATGCTTTCAAGAGTTATTCCCCCAAAGGTATATTTATATAAATGTAAAGATTGATATTTGTATCTGTAGAAATAAGCTCTCATTCCCTGATGGATGCATATCATGTTTACTGTATATAGTTAAAGACCTGCCATTTAAATCAATCAGCAATTCTAATGATTCACCTAAGACTTTAGGCCTTGCTTTGGAAATAGAAGCACTTGAAGCCACAGATTTTTTCCTCTCCCTCTGCCCTCATATTCGATATTTGTCAAGCCTTTGGTTTTTACTGGCAGGAACTAACTTGACACCCAGAGCACCTACATCTCATTGGGCACTTTGAAAATTTGGAAGGTGTTGTGATCATTTTATACATATGAAGGCTTTCTCTCTCTCACACACACAGTCATTAGGGCAAGTTATCTAGGAAAAAAGTAATTTTGCTAACTTTCCTTGCTGTTACCTGCAGCTTTGTGAAAGATGTTGTCGACATCTATTATAAGACTGATGAGATGGTGTGTGAAGATGTGGAGCTCCAGGCCTTTGTGAAGGACATTTATGTCTATGGGATGAGAGGCAATAAGTCTTCAGGTAAGACTCCGTTAGCTCCCCTGTGCTGTGGACAAAGTGGGTCAACTGGTATTATTTTCCCGAAAGGAAAGGAATTGTGGGAGAAAACCAATTTATCTGCAATGCTGCATTTATCAGAAATTTAAGAATTCAGTGAGACATTGATAACAAAGGGATAGGACTGTCCTACGCTAAAGTATATATTAATAAAAACAATGAATGAACACTAACATTTAAGAGTGTACCATATATGCATTCTGAAACTTTGCATCAAAAGAGGTATGACATTTCCAATAATTAAGAAACATCTCTCAGTCTCTTTAAAAAGTTAGTAATTAATTGTTCTTAAGTCAACTTGGATTTTATGAATGAGAAACCTTCCTGTCACCTGTCCAAGTCTTGCAGACTTAGGGATGTGGCTTCCTTGACCTTATCTGAATCTAAATATATTACTTCTCACATTCAGCTGTATCATACTGGGAAATATTTACTATTCTAAATATGAGAATAATGTTCTATATTCCCATTTTTCTAATGTATAATCCTTAT